GGGGGGGGGGGGGGGGGGGGGTAGCAATACCCCTAGGCGTGCGTCATGTTAAAGAAACCGGGATAAGCTCCGGCCGTTTGAGCCTTTGGCTCGTGTGCGCCTTCACCTTTTTATACTCTGACAAGTGTTTTTCACTTATTTTGTGACTCTTAACAGATTCAGAGTGTGGATGTTGCTGCTTTCAACAAGATCTAACTGCCTTAAGCTGTTGCGATAAAATGTAAAGAAATAAAAATCATCTTAGTTTAACGAGGGTCTGTTGGTTAGTTTCCCAGCCGTTTTTTTGATCGTTACACATGGCTTCCCAGGAAGGTGAATTCCGTGACATCACAAGTAACAAAACATAACAAGTGCGCAGGATAAAGAAAAAAATCTGAGTCCTTGAATCTTTTTAAATAAGCTTTTTGGCTTGAGCAATTATTAAATAGTAAATAGGCAGAGTTGCCTCAAGCCTCTGTTTCAAAGCGAGGCTAAGTGCGACGCAGTTGATTTGATAATGATTTCTTATTCTTATGCAAATAAAACTCATTTTCATAAGAAAGGTTTTTTCATTTTACCCGTCGATTTGGTCAGAAGTAGGGGCGCTTCTCCGCATGGTTTAAATGCTTGCCATTGTCCCCACGCGGGGAGCATTGCGCGACTCCGACTCGAGCGTTTGTGAAGGAGACTAACGCTCTCCACATAGGCTACTAAAACGTTGAGACCTTCTTCTTTTCTTGTGTGAGGACGAAACGTCGTAGGCCCCGTTGCGTAACAGTTTCGCTGAATCCAACTCTTGTTCAATAACCCCTGGTGCCCATCTATCTCCAAGCTGCAATTTACTTGGATCCGAACTCTCCTATGTCGACTTGACGTAGCCTGCGTGGATGGTGTCCAAATTTGTTTAATGTTTTTTTTTTTTTGTATTACTCTTTTGTTCACTTGTTCATCGCCTTGCCGTAAGGATCAGTTTGCCGTTTTATATTTTATGCAAGTTGCTATTATACTGATCCAGGTATATAACTGTGAGATCAGGCACCACTCAACGGAAAATGTGCATTAAATGTCGTTTTCAATCTTACCTTAAGCGTTTTCTTGTGATTAACTATGAGCTGACTGCGTTTCAGGGTCGGGTTGAAAACATTTTAAGATTTTAAAGGGAGCACGTAACTATTTTTTCGAAACAATAGAATATTGTTCTAGAACAAAAGTTAAGAGTCCTCTTATCTTCAGAAGGTTTTATGCAACCTGGCCTAGGCCTCTTGGGCACGTTTAAATGCCTATTTGGTCCTATTTAGGTCTGCGAAAGTTGTCAAGTGAAAGGCTGTGTATTCAAAGCTGGTTCAAAGGTTGAAAATCATTCTATAAATTCGCCAAAAATGCGGACTTTTTCTATGATATCGTTGACTTTTTTGTGCTCTCAAACATTGCTCAGAGCTCAGCAAATCTTGTTCGAGGTTGCTCTTGCTCAAAATCAGGACTGGGAACGAGGCTAGGCCTATCAACCCATTCCACTCTTTCATTTTTTGCCTCTTGTTTCATTTCTCGCGCGGCCAAAACCGGTCTTTCTTTGCTACGAAACCAAACGGAAACGCTTGCTGCGCAGGTTATTTCAGATGTTCCGTTGCTCCCGGAAATTTTCCGCTGGAACGACTCGACCCAAAAAGCCGTGTTTCATTTTAATATACTTTCCAACCGAGTTATCCGGAACCTTTCTGTAAATGGTCCGAGGTCCAACCCCTTACTCTTTTATGTGATGTATACTTTGTTTAGAACTTTGCATCCCTTTTAACTGCTGCTGAAATGTACTGTCTTTTCAATAGGAATCAATCACAAAAATAGAACGTTTCCTCAACTTTATAAAGCCGTAAAATTCATCTGTTAGCCATTTTGGTCCCTTTCACAGACCCAAATGACAGATTTCCCTACCCTTTTATATACTTCAACGAGTAAAATCCCTACCCTCTTATATACCTGACGCCTGAAAAAGATACCCCTTTAGGGCGGAGCCTCCCCGTAATACAGTGTTACAGGCCATGATATGGAGTACCCACCCATCGCCCGGAACGGTGAAGGGCAAGAAATTTTAAAAGATGCTTGGTTTGCCTGTGCCGTTTCCGCGCTTGTTCCTGGGAACAAGTTCAAACCTTCCCGCTTTTTTTCAAGTCCACAGGAGCTTGGTTAGCTTGTTTATCGCAGTTTGGTTTCTTCTGTTGATCTGTGTTCTTCTGTGTTCGGATAAGCTTTTGTGTTGAGGTAAGGCATATTTATTACACGAAACATTACTCACTTGGGTTGAAGTGTGCAATATTTTCACGCGATCGCCTTTGATCAGATAGAGAAGGGCGCGATTCGATTGATCAGAGTGAGGAGTCACCTTAACCTTTTTATATAAATAATACACCGTTCAGTCATTGTTGATATTTACAGTTTGTAACATTATCATTGTAACAGCTAATATGCATGGTCCATAATCGGTAAAAAATCTAGCCTGTTAACAGACCTTCGTTCGAGTGGGGAATTTTTTTCCCCAAACAGAGAGCCTGTTCACAGGCTATCACAGATCAAAAATAGAAACTTCAGTAATTTCTGTTGGAACCCAACCACTCTTTAAAGAGATCAATAAATATTCATTAATTCACTCACTCATTCATTCATTCATTCATTCATTCATTTATTTAATTTTCCAATCAGCAAGTCAATCCAACAGGAAATCAATCGTTCATTCGTTCGTTTATTCAATCATTATCACACAAACACATTATGGGAATCCATAATATCATTTGGGAAAACCTCTGCTAATTTGGGACACGTAATTCTGTCTGATACAAATATACAACATTTATTTCTCTAGCTGGCTGGGACCAACGATTTTTTAAAAGCCAAATATATTTTCAGCAAAAGTCTAGGGGTTAATTTAGTTAAAATTCAGATGACAAGTGACTCTCCTTTATATTTGTAGGATGTTCAAGGGCGGCATTTTCAAACCAAATGACGAAAACGTGGTTCATTTTTATTTCGAAAAGCCTGGATTTCCATCTGGGCTATTCAAAAAGGTTGGTATGTCAGCCGACGGGGCAGGTTAAAATACCGACTGTGGACTACGGTTTTTAGGGTTAGAAAACAACTGAACTATTGCTATCATGTACTCATTTGCATGGTGAAAACAATAGTCCACAGTCTGCACTTTACACTGACCGGTTGTGATACTTGGCATTTCAACAGAATTACAAGCATTCAAATTTGCCCATTTTTATAGAGACCCTGTTAGGATAAAATTCTGACAAGTGTCATTGCATTGAAATGGCGACACTGGACGGCTGAATGGTGGTGAACAACACATGGATAGGCTGACACAGCGACAGCACCAAAAAAGCTATAGAGAACTGATACCATCATCTTTGCTAAATCAAATGAGCCCCCCTCCCCATGCCCCCCAACCCCCTCCATCAAACATCAATTACATTAATCAAATATAGACAGGGACATGGCTTCCTCCTCAAAATGCAAAACAACAGGTTTTGAAAAATTCGGACTGAAGATATATGTACCCCTCCTCCCCCCCTCTAAAAGAGTGTCTCATCATAGAAAGTTTCCCAAAGTGTAAATTCTCCCTCACTTCTGCAAAATTATCACAATTGTTGTTTCAACTAGTCCAATTCCTGTCAGGTTGTTATCATTCCCTCCTTGGAAAATAAGGTGTTTCAATAACAGAGTGCAGTGACAAAGTCAAGGAAAATGGGGACAACCTAGTGTGTTTAACCAAATAAAAGTTTTGGTATGAAATTTAGGATAATGTAGGCCATTTTTCTTACTGGACCTTTGGTTTTTAAAGTGAAAGTAGCGTTTGCTGGATTACACTTTCAAGAATATAGTCATTATAATTCAGGGGCATTAGATCTTTGCTTAAACACAGTGTGTGTTTTCATTTTCTTTTTACAGACAGTCAGTAAGTATATGAACGGTCTGCTGAATACAAAGGGTGGAGTATTGGTGTTTGGAGTGCGGCCCAAAACAGGTATAACCCTTCAGCCCTCTTTTCTATAGGTCCCTCCTTTTTTACAAAAAGCAGGGCTGTCCTCTAACAGAGCCTGGTGGCCCTTGACACCTAACTTTGGCTCTCCGGAAACTAGAAAATCTAAGTTTTTTCATACAGATTATTAGCACTGGGCTCCCGTCAATTTTTCTTAGAGCACAGCCTTGAATAGGAAGTCAATTTACTCCCCTCTCTTGACTTTTAATCCCTCTCCCCCTCCCCCCAGCCCTATTATTCTTAACAATGGAATTAATAAGTTATAGACTGTGTCAATATACCGTTAATGTACTGTACTGATCCAGTATGGTTAATCAGTGTTGATCATGCCCTGGAAGTTCACATTTTGTTTTTGATCGTCAGCTTTTTGACCTCCAACTTCATGCACTTTTTAGAGCCTTTGCACTTCGCATAACTGAACTACTTGTTTGATAGAGAACTGATACCATCATCTTTGCTAAAACAAACAAGCCACCCTTCCCCCCCCCACTCCCTCCCTCCATCAAACATGCTTAAAATAAATACAACCCCAGGGGACTTAATTGAGGATTTACAACAAATAATTTCAATTGCAGAGCAAGGCTGTGCTCTAAGAAAAAATACAAGGGAGCCTAGTGCTTAGTGAACCTGTGAAATCCAGGGTACCCAGCCTATTGATTTCTATGAAAAAAAAAACTAAAGATTTAATTTTCTTTTTTCCAGGAGCAAAAGCTAGGTGCTTGCGGCCCCTGTGCAATGCAAGGGCACAGCCTTGCAGAGTTAATTTGTAGGGATAGCTAGTAGGCTAAGTGTAGGCTCATTTTTTTTTTTAAACTGAGTGGCAAAAATTAAAACCTGCCATTATTTTAAATGCGTCAAATGGTCTTTGTTTCTTAGTATGGTTGACTTATGAATTATTATTATTTTATTTACTTTTTTGATATTTGTTTATTTACACAACAATTTACTTACAGTACATTACAAGAGCTAAAGTAAAAAGAAAGTTACAAATATTGCAACTGGACAAAATACAAGAAAAAGAAAAAAATAGACAAAAATAGTAGTAATTCCTATAATTATTATATGACAACTACATTAAACCTGTTAATTAACAGATTTTTTCAGTAAGTCAAATTCTTTT